TTGTGTGTCTTCCCAGTGGTAGAGCACCTGCCTATAATCCCCCAGTGAGGGGCTGGGGGCGTGGCTCAGTGGTAAAGCCCCTGCCTAGAATCCCCCAGTGAGGGGCTGGGGGCGTGTCTCAGTGGTAGAGTGCTTCCTGTGTTAAGGTGACTGCTGATAAAGCCAAACCCAAATTTTCAGTTGCATCATGGAGGGATATAAGAAAATGATGGCCTGGGGGATTTCAGACTGTGAGCTCTGGTGACAGATGGTGTAAAATGACCCATCCTGGGGACAACTCCACCATCCCCAAGGGACCCTCCAGGATCTGCCTGTCCATGGTGATCTCCAGTTTAAGCTGGCCCAGGGGCAAAGCCAGACAAAGGGCTTTTGAGCCACACCACCAGCACACTGCATGTCACTTTGCTGTCGGCATGGGCTTTGGCCAGGCAGGAATGCAGAAGAGTTTCCTGTGGTGGTCACACCCACCCACAGAGCTGCCCAAGCAGCACCCAACACTAGTCACTGGTTGGTCAAACCAGGTGCTAGTACCCCAGAACCTGAGATGCAGTCTGAGTCTCAGTGTGTTGGGGGTGACTGCTGACAAAGTGCTGGGGGGATGCTCATAACTGGATATCAGAGCATCCACCCTCGCAGTCACAGCCAAGGTGGCTAACTTCTGCTCGCTAGGAATTGTGCAGTTCCCCTTGTCTCGAGTTCGTGTGTGCTTGTGTGTGTGTGTGTGTGTGTGTGTGTGTGCGCGCGCGCGCGCACGCGCTCGCGAGTGCGTGCCCTTGTGTGTGCGTGTGTCCTGTTTACCTGTATGTCTGAGATGGAGTCTCACCATGTAGCCCAGGCTAGCCAAACCCTTAGCAATTTTCCTTCTTCCTAAGTGCTGTGATCACAGATGCTCCCCACTATGTCCAGCTGTGACACTGTTTGCTTTGATTCTTTTATTTGGGGAGCAGTAAGGTCTCCTGGCGCCCAGGTTGACTTCGAACCGTCAATGTGTTTGAAAATGACCCCAACCTTCTGATCCTCCTGCGTCCACCATCTGAATGTCCAGACTGCAGGCATGTATCACCACATTGGGTTTTTGCACTTCTGGTAACCGAAGCTAGGGCTTCACGGATGCTGGGAAGGCACCCTCCAAACTGAGCTCCATCCCCAGCCCTTTTAATGAGTGTCTGCTTTGCAAGCATCTTTCAGTGTCGAGCCAGGAAGCCTTATGAGGGAACAGAGGAAGGAAAGGAGCCAACCCCACAAAATTAACACTTCTGTGTAACGACTAAGAGTCACTGGGCAGGGCTGGTGAGAGGGCTCAGTGGGCAAAGGTACTTGCTGCCAGGGCTGATGACCTCAGTTTGATCCCCAGAATCACGTGGTTGGTACAAGGAGAGAACAGACTCCTAAAAGTTGTCTTCTGACCACCACATACGTTCTGTGGCATGCACCTGTGCACACGTGTGCACACACACACACACAAATAAATACATGTTTTCCCAATTACTTAAAAAAATAATTGTAGCCAGGCAAGGTGGCGTGTGGCTATAATCCCAGAACTCAGGAACTAAAGGCAAGAGGATACAAGCTTGCAGCCAACTGAACTAAACAAAGAAAAAGGGTAGAGAAAAACTAGGCACTGTGGTGTACATCTTTAATTCTGGTATAGGAGGAAGAGGCAGGCAGATTTCTGTGATTCCAGAACAGCCAGAACTATATTGTATGAAAAAAAAAAAAAAAAAAAAAAAAAAAAAAAAAAAGAAGACAAAGAGGGAAAGACCCAGACAGACAGAAAGCCACAATTAGTTAAATGTAGAAAACAACTGATTATGGGATGGCCAGCCCCAACAGATACAATTACAACACACAACTCCTGCACATAAGGCTCAGGCAATGTCTTGGGAGAAAGCAGAAGGACTGTGATAGTCAAAGGACCAGGAAATCTGCTGTGAGATTGTGTCTTCTAGCTGTGACATGAAGCTATACCTGAGGCCTCAACAGCATGGCTGCCTAAACAAGACCAGAACAATTTCTACACCAGCTGACATCCTAAAGTAGATGGAGAAATCTCAGAGGCCGAAAGCCCTAGATGAAGAGCCACAGCCAACTAACAACTTGGGAGAGAGGGAGAACTAGTCTCCAGGGACGATCCCCTGATTGGTTATCCAGTAGCAGCAAGTGGTCAGCCTTGGATACACAGGCATGCAGCCACACTGCCCAAACTCCAAAGGTTGGATTTATATGTTCATTCATTTATATGGGTATGTAACAACAATGGTGAAAGAGAAGCCCCTATGAATTTTGGAGAGAGTAGGGGGAGAGGATACTTGGGAGGAGAGAGAAATTATGTAATTATATTTTAATCAAATTTTAAGAGAAAGAGAGGGTTGGAGATGGGGTAAGAGGAAGGGAAGAGGAAAAAAGAAGAAAGGAAGAGAATGAACCATGAGGGGATAACTGTACACATTTATTAGGGTTTTGTTGTTGTTGTTATTGTTGTTGTTGTTGTTTTGTTTTGTTTTGTTTTTTGTTTTGTTCTGTTTCTGGAAGCAGAATCTCACTATGCAACTCTGGCTAGCCAGGATCTCACTATGTAGACCAGGCTGACCTTCAACTCACAGAAATCTACTTGCCTTTTTCTCCTGAGTGCTGGGATTAAAGGTATGCTTTACCACACCCAACTATTGAATCACTTTTAATTGTGTGTGAATGAGTACGTGCATGCGTTTGTGTGTATGTGTGTGTGTGTGTGTGTGTGTGTGTGTGTGTGTGTGTGTTTAGACCACATGCATTTGGGTGTCCTTGGGGGCCAGAAGAGGGCATCTCCTGGAGCCGGGTAGCGGCAGTTGTGAGCCACCTGTCAGTGGGTTCTGGGAACTACACTCAAGCTCTCTGCAAGAGCAGCAAATGCTGTTAACTGCTGAGCCATCTCTCCAGCCCCCATCTAATTGCTTTTTAATGTTGAAAGAATCCAGCAATTAGAAAGTGTGACAAATGTGTCCAACATAAATTGTGTCATTGATTAATTCGTTGCTTCAGACTGGAATTTTTCACTGGACGACGGGGCATAAAGGAGTACTTCCAAGCGAGTCTGTGGTACTGGGATGTCAAAGATCTCAATGTGTTTACTCTATTACAAGCGCTAAATGCCGGGGGCTGGCCGTGCTTCTATTGAGCTTCTGGAGAAAATCGAACGGTTTAAATTTGTAAAAGCAGAATATTTAGAGAATTTAATTAACTTCCATTCTAAGTGGGCCATGAAGTTGTTGAAACTGGATTTGACGGAACATTAATCAAACAAGCCTAGAAAGTGGATGTTACAATTTCCTAGGTTTATAGATAGAATTAATATTTGTAAGTAGAAACCTGGTAACTGAGAAAGACAGTGTTTCTTTTTCTCTCCTTTCTTTAAGCTCAGGGCCCTCCTGCCTCTGAGGACACCTGCACCCCAGTGCACAGACCCACACACACACATATACTCATAAATTTTTAAAAATTATTTTAGATTTATTTTGTGTATGGGTATTGTGTGTGTGTGTGTGTGTGTGTGTGTGTGTGTGTGTGTTATGAACATGCAGTGCCCACTGTGTCCAGAAGAGGGCATCAGATCTCTGGAACTGTGGTTATGGGGGGGCACGATTTTGCCATCTGTGTGGATGCTGGGAATGAATTCTCTAGAAGAGCAACCAGTGCCATTAACTACAGACCCATCTCTCCAGCTCCAGCAAACACGTACATTTAAAATTTAAAAAAAAAGGAAAAGCAGCAATCCTCTTTTATTTTCTCAGGACAAAGCCATGCATGGCATTACCCCCCCCCCAAAAAAAAACAACCATAGGGAAATGAATAAAATTAAACAGAAAGCAAACACAAATTGTGCTTCATAATAACATCTTTCTAATGCATTGTTTGTACAAAAGAAGGGCTGCTTAGAGAGCTACACACATGAGCTCGGGTGCCCCTCACACTGCCTTTGTCTGGGGCAGTACGTCCAAGTTACAAGATCCTTCGCCAATCACTTATGGAAATCCCAAAGATAAGTCAGTAATAAAATAAGGCTTGGCTCATCAGAGGTGCATTGGCTAACATCTCCCCAACCCCTACGGATGAGCTTAGTAGGCACCTGGGACATGGGTACCTCAGGGTGATCTCTGAGAACTGTTCTGAGGTCACCATTACGGGAAGTGCTGTTTTTATGCCTGACCCTGCTTCTTTTTTTTTTTTTTCCTCTGTAGCTTTGGATCCTACCCTGGCACTCACTCTGGAGACCAGGCTGGCCTCGAACTCACAGAGATCCGCCTGCCTCTGCCTCCCGAGTGCTGGGATTAAAGGCATGCGCCACCAATCCCGGCCCTCACTATGTCTATTTATAGATTACTTTTTATATTTTTCTTTCTTTTAATTCTTTCTAATCTACTCTAATTCCTGATTTCTGGTCAAAGGAATGGAATAGAGAGCTGGAGAGACGAATCAGCAGTTAACAGCACCGGCTGCACTTTCAGAGAACAAGAGTTTGCTCCCAGCACCTGACGGCATGTAACACAGCTCCGGATTGAGGGAACAAATATTAAAATTAATAAAAGTTTAAAAATTTAGGCCCTGAAAAGGGAGCGTGTAATGGAAAAGGAAAAATTTAACTCTTTAAATCAGGAGTGCCATGGCTGGCGCCTGATCCCCTGCTCTCAGACAAGGAGAGGTAACTGTTCACCACTCTTGTTAACATTCCTTTGCTAATTGCTGGTCAAAAGATCCCCCAGCCCAGGGGATAACTGACAGACCTTGTGACCCTGTAACCCTGCAAGCCCATGCCCTGT